GTGTGTAAACTATATCATTTCTAAAATATATGTTACGAGAGTTTACAAATTTGATGGTGCTTAGAATGACTCAAAATGAATCACGTCATAAGACAACTTTTCCACTATTATTCAACTTAGGGTATGTTCGGCAAAATCATCTATACTACTCCGAAACAGATAGTATGACATATACTCTGTATGGTATTTCATACTATGTAACACTCAAATGTTGATAAAAGACGGATATCAAAGTAGTTATTTGATGTACTATAGGTGTTTGAACTTTGAACACAACCAATACTTACATTGTATATGTCGCACACCAGTATATACTCATATGGAACACGAACTTTGACTAATTGAAAGATGAACTATCCTTATTTGTAAGGATCCAAGTGTTGCTATATATATAATTAAAGTGGGAATACTTGTTAGCAACAACTTTAAGACTTAATAATAATGGTGATGTACATACTCATATGATAATTATAGTAGAAATAATAATAATAAGTGTGAAAGCACGAGGAGCTAAGCATGGCCATGATCCAATATGAATGTGGCATGAATATAAGAGCATGCGTTGTATAGTTTTTACTCATTGAAAGTAACAATTGAGTAGTGAGCACCCAAACATATTTATGTTGGGTCAAATTACAGACATGGTTCAATTTTTCCTATGCATCTATCATTCACTTTATCTTTCATTGGGAGCAGGTTTTTATTTGAATATACTTTTGCCTTTTTATTCTTCTTCTTTTTTTCATTTGGAATATCTCAGCTACTTTGGATTTTCATTTTGTTTGAATTTGAATTGCTTATTGCTCCTTTATTTGTCTTGTATGTATCTGTAATTGGATAGAAATTGAATTCTTGTCTAGTGAAATGAAAATCAATAAGTTGGACTCCATTATAGGTAAGAGTCAAAATAAGTACCTAAAAGTATGTGGTTATTTCATAGATATTACATAGTACCAACCAAACTAAAGGTCTTTTATGAAAATCATCTAATTTTGCCAATAATTCCCAAGTTTAACGCAATGTACATTTGATGTCTTATTATGAATGTTGAGATAAAATACCTACTAGTACTTTTTCTTATGTAACAAGAGAATAGTACTCTTTTATAGGAAAGAACTGATATATGTATTGCCAATCTATAAATAAGAAAAGTCAACACTCATCATTGTCTTTATTTTAAGCATTATGAGATTTCTAATGTAAATATTGGACTTGTTTTGAATATCCATAGTCAATATGTGATTACATACTTGTACTAACACACAAACAAAAGGTAAGAAATAGAGTGATTTAATCCAGATTTAACTTAATTTAGCAGGTAGAGAGAGCTAATATCATTCTATAAAAATTACAAATCATAAACCCAAGATTTAAAATCATCCATTTCTTTTAGAAATAGTCTAGATTGCATTTATTTATTTTTTCAAGAAAAGTCTACAATTACCCTCCAAATATTTCCAAAAGCAATTTCTAACTACTATATGTACATGAGAACCACTATGTTGACAAAGTGGGGTCGACATTTTATCCTATAAACTTGCCATCTTTGTTATTGCTTTAGGGGACGATCATCTTCCTTAAAGATCCTTCAAAGGTAGAAAAAGAAATAATATGTCATCACTATTATAACTACCAATTTTTGGAATCTGGCTCAAATTTAACATTTCTCTATCCATTTTTTTTTGGTCATTTTTATTCAATATGATATCTTGCATTCTTGCTTAGCTCCCCTCTTTAATTACCTCACTTTACTTTTTCTTTCTTCTTTATATTTTTGTGATTGTTTGTTAATTAATTTTGCGTGGCTTTATTTAAATTAATTGTATATTCTTGACTACAACACTATTTGGACGGCTGAAAAGGAAAATTCTGGAAGAAAGTAGGAAAAAGACTAAAAGCATACATCCATGGTAATCCACCTATTAAGGATCTTGGAGTATATAATTAGTGACATTAATATTATTATTAGAAATTAATTAGTTAACGAGAGCTAACTTTTATGTATAGGACCGGCGCACCATGGATGGTTAATTGTTATGTGGCAACCAAGCAACATTATTGTTCTTTTTCTAAAATTTTCAGGTAGTATGTACATTGTTGGGTTTGAGAAGTGTGGAGAACGGTTCAAGAAGGCTAAGGGGGTGCATAGCTTAGGATTTTAAGCTATGGGCTATTGCTTGGTGTTAAGCAATGGTGAATGGCAAAGGGCTGACTTCAAATGGGCATATCTCAAGATCTAGAAGTGGTATTGAGATGATTCAAGTTGGAGGTGATAGCTCTTCTCACGAGCTTTCCAACGACAGGTCATAAGCTCGATTTGGTCAAGAATCGAGGGAGTTATGGCCGGTTTACGAAGAGCTGTCTGCACAGTGCAGAAGTTCGACCGAACTTTTGAACAGTTTGGTCGAACCATTTGAAGAAATTGAGCTGTTGCTACTGACTGCCTTGTTCGACCGAACCTTTGGCAAGTTTGACCGAACCACCCTTAGTTCGGTCGAACAGGGGGTAGGTTCGGTCGAACCTCGTGCGTGCCCCTGTTTTCTACGGTTTTGCAACTTAATCGATGTGGCTAATTTAAGACAGTAGGATTGTTTTATTTTGCCTAGCACTATATATACTTTTGTTTTGTCATTGTAGAGGAAAAAGGGGATGAAGGGAAAGATGTAGAGAGAGGGAGCCTCAATGTAAACCCAAACACTTAGGGTTTGAGTGTTTGAGAGGGTGAGTTTGGGTGGAGCTTTCATGGTGATTGAAAGCTTGTAAACTACATTAATCTTCATCAAATTGTTACTCCATAGTGGATTGGTGGGTTTTTCTCCCGGTTCTCGGGTTTCCCACGGTAAATTCTCCTTGTCTCGTTTATTACTTGTTTTTCCATCTTCATTGTTGTTAATTGTCGTTAATCGCAAACTAGCTAGCACATTCATTTAATCCTTTCATACATAAATGCATGTGAGTAGTATTTAATTTAATTCTTCTTTGTACATATATAATATAATAAGAAGGTATTAAAGCTTTATGGATTTAACATATAATATGGATGATTTCACACACCTATCTAAACTACTTTTACTAATGAAACAACTGCGTACCAATAATAAACGCATAAGTACATATGCATGTAAATAAATGAAAAGGCAGTCAATTTAATGCATTATTATAGCAAAATACTTATATCTGAATTACGTAATACTACGAATTCTAGTTACGCTATTTGCATTATGAGTAAATGTGACGACCAATAAATAATAGATGGAGTATATCATACATAAATTTATTATCCAAATTATACAGCAATATTCTTTCAAAAAAAAAAAAAAAAAAAAAATTATACAGCAATATGAATCAGAAATACCAATTAAACATGAAGTATGTTGTTTTTCTAAATACAAAGTATAGGATAATAAAGCTAGATTAATATAAGAGAGTTTAAGTTACTCACCTAATATTGGCACTGCCTTTAATCGTACATTATCAGTACATACCTAACAATCTAACATACGTATGATCTTAGATTAAAGTAGTTTTTTTTTTTTTAATAAAGAAATACCCTTTCTTAATTAAAAAAAAAAAAAAAAAAAAAGGAGGAAATATAAAAGGGGATGACTTTCACTAGGTCATCAGCAATAATTACAATGGTAGAAAAATATGAATGCCTGATACTTTAATCGTTATTCTGCATTGAAATATCCCTATCTCCTCTATTACGTGTATCTAATTATGCATGATAACATCCCATTTTTTTATATTTTTATAAAGAGTATATACAAATAATGTTCATGATATGCTTTATACATTAATGGTCCATAAAATAAAAATTACCAAATGATTACTGAAATATATTTAGTACACCTGTAGGTTAAAATAAAGGCCGAAAGTGATACATGAAAGAGTGAAAAAGAAAAGTTTAATTTTACCGCCGGTAAAGAAATAAGCTGAAAATGAAAGTTGTTATTTGTGTTGGAAATTTTAGGATCATTGGCCGAATAAAGTTGACTCACATGGTACTTTTTGGGTGATAAAAAGATTTCTTTGTTTTGTTGCTTTGTTCAATGTTCACCCCACTTTAATCACTTTAATTTCAGTGTTTTGTAGTATTAGAACTTGATTTACGTATATGGGGCTTAATTGTTTTAGAGACCAAGCTATGATTGGTCTATTGATAAGGTTTGCATCTCACAACCATGAGGACATGAGGTTGTGGGATCAAACCCCACTCGAGGCACTAGGGTGGGGATTCCTTTATTCTTCCCCCCACTTTCAAAGTGTCTAGCCCGTTAACCTGGGCTGGGAGGACCTGTGAGAGGTTTCGGTCTAGTAGGGACCTTCTCCTTACAAAAAAAAAACATTATATGAGAGAAAGGTAGAGTTTATATGCTAACTCGTAGTACAAATTACGGAGATGTATCACAAATTCACAGTCGTAGATAAGATTAGAGTAATTTGCATTGAGCTATAAATAATGGTAACTATAAAAAAAAAAATATAGAGGAAGTATCATTATTATGTACTTTTAGTGGAAATTTAGATTTCCTTCTATCAATTAATCAGGTTCATTTGAGATCACTAAGGATATGAAGGATTATTATTTGTGGGTGATAAAAATAGTTTATACTTGTAAAGTTATAATGGACTTGATACAATATCTTTCAAAAAAAAAAAAAAGGACTTGATACAATAAAAATTTTACAACAGTCAAGAATTGGGTGTTGGGAAAAAAGTTTCACAATAGGCCAGAGCTCATTCACCAACAATTCTGATAATGGCCAATGGGTCAAGTACTCAAGCCCAGGCCCCATTTACTTGGATCCACCTGTTATGGGCCGGACTATGGGTTCGTTGCCAAAGCCCATAGGTAGTTTTCAGGTCAAATGATAAAGTGGTAGTTTTATTATTCATTCTGAATTCTGATTACATAGTAGTATTTAAATGGATATCAAGAAAATGCTATTTGGCCTCATTAGAATTTGTATGGAAGACAGTTGTGTGCAAATTAAAGGTAATTAAAAATAACCAAATTTTTCATAGCACTCAAATTGTTTTACACATATTCAGATTACACTAAAAATCAGAAATCACAATAATTACATATGAACGCACACTAGTATGTAAGGAAAACAGAGAATTCGAGCACAGTCTGAAGGCCGTCGGTCTCGTGCTGATCAACAGGTGGCAGTGTTTTGACAACGGCAAATCCCTTGGCATTGACGTACTTACCAGTACCACCCATTATGGAAACAATAGATTCAGAGACAGTAGTCTGATGAACCCCAAAGAAGTTGATACTGTTATGATAACCACCTTCTTGGAACATAGCAGTAAAGGCCATGGTTTGGGTCTTACCGTCTACTGAGCTGTAGACATAAAACCCTTGAGCGCGGCCTACCATACCTGAGTTGAGTGCATGACCTTCAGTGAGTTCATCGTCAATTGCAATCATAGTTCCGAACATAAGCTGCTGCAGGGATGTCCCTGAAGTGAGCTGGGCTCCGTTCACAACAGGGAAACCATTCCCTCCAACGTAGTTGTTACCACTGTTCTGCATCACATTAGAATTAATGCCACCAAGACCAGTGAGGAAGGGGACATTGTTGTTGTTCATAGTACCAGAGTTGCCATTGCTCTGACGGCCACCGTTCTGGTTAGCGAGGATTGCACCATTGGGCTTAGCAAAGGGGACTTGCCCACTAACAGCAGGGTTGGTTACAACACCAGTGATTGCTTTGGCTGTAGGGTTAGATCCTCCTAGAATGTCATGCATGAAAAAGATCAATTCAGGGTGTTCCCCATGCGCCACATCTCCAGCATCGGCTCCTGTGGCTGCACCAGCAGCCGCACCTCCACCAGCAGCCCCACCTCCCGTAGCAGTGACTCCACCAGTAGCCCCATCTCCTGTGGCAGAGCCTCCACTGGAAGCCCCTCCTACAGAGGAAGCTGCTCCACCAGCAGCCCCAATTCCAGAGCCAACTCCTGAAGCTTCATCAGCAACTGGGGCATCTGCCTCAGGGACGGGTGCAGTTACTTCATCAAGGATTCGAGCTGAGGTGGCAAATGTGATGAGAAAGAGTAGTGTAAGTGGGAAAAGTTGGTTCTTGAATGACAAGGCCATTGTTGATTTTTTAACGCGGTGTGGTTTTGTAGGAGCTAGTTGGTTGGATTTGTATTGATTGATTGATGAAATTGAAATCTACCGTTGGAGTTTATATATGCAAGCAAAAGTGAGTTGAAGAAGAATAACAAGATGGAGTTGATGGGATGGAGCAGTTGTTGGGCCATTTAATCATATTGTGGTGTGTTGGTTAGAACATGGAAACCTAAACCTCAATATCTCCACTGGGAAAATAATTAGATAGGATAATTCAGGTGTTAACTGCTACTGGAACAGCTCACTATAATACTAAAATATTGCATCTGGACCTCAGCCTCAATTGCATCTGGTAACCACTACATTATTTTTCAATTAGGATGTGTGGCAAAGCCCACAAAACATATTTTCACAAGCAAGGCCCATATCTATTAGACTTGTATATCGACCTCGAACATAATAGTATGGTTCTCAATGGATCAACAACACAATCCAGACACCTCTTTTCTCTTTCCTGTAAATTTCTCTGAACCAGAAACTCTAAAAACCATAATCAGTTTAATGGGCGCAAAACAAAACAACACAGTCCATCTTCAGACTTCTAATATTTTATCCTTCACTTCTCCACCATCCTTCTAAACAACATACACTCTTTCTATATATATTACTTCCACACTACGGAATTAGTTGTCACATCATCCAATCTTTCATAAAAGATATGAAATACAAGTTTTAGATAATAATAATGTTATTCTTATAAACTCCTAGCTAACAAGGGTGTGTTAGAAGATCCAAACATAAACCAGTATAATGATACATGTAAGGAAAAATAAAATATTCAGACATCCTATGGCATCACTGAGTATTAATTCCAGATAGTGGAAGTATACCATATGTTTCTCAAAAAGGCTTTAGCATGTAGCCATTAACTAGCTTAGTTATCCCACTTGGGGCTGTTGGGAGTCTTGGGACAGTAGTCATGTTGGCATATGATATGCCCAGCAGGAACTTAGGTAATTAAAAAGAGTAGGACAGCATATGTTTAGGATACAAGCACCCAAAAAATGTCACAGCTTAGAAATAATTTAACTTGTATTTTAAGTTTATGAATTCAAGGAGCTTAGTTCACTCACAAGTTTAACAGTAGTGTCATGATCATCACCACAGAGCTCCACAACAAGAGACTCCCATCTTGCAGTTTGAAATCTTATATTCTTCTTCCCCATCACTTCCAAGACAAACCAAGCATCATCCATCTTCCCGCCCTTGAGCAAGCCCGTAACTAAACAATAAAAACTTTCCAAGCGCGGATAGTGGTGGCTCATCATCATAACATTTAGGATACTCAAACCCCTCTCATACTCACTAACTCGACAAAACCCATCGAACAACATTCTATAAGTAGCTGCATTAGGCTCACATCCTTTAATTTGCATATCAACAAGCACCTTATAAGCCTCCTCAGCTCTCCCTTCTTTACACAAAAAGTTCACCAATATGTTATAAATTACAACATCTGGCTTTAGCCTCTTCTTCCTCATGTCATTAATCAATGATTTTGCTTCATCAAACTTCCCTCTCTGAGTAAGATCGGTCATCAAAACCCCGAAATTAGCAAGCCGAGGTTTGCACCCTCGGTACTCCATATCAAACATCATCTTCTTAGCCTCATTATACTTCCCTAAGGAACACAATCCTTCCATCAATAGAACAAAAGTAACCACATTCGGGTGCGTTCCTTTGCAAATCATTTCATCAAGCAACTTCAAGCCCTTACTCACCTCACCCTTCTTACACAAAAATCCAATCAAACTATTATAAGTCACAACAGTAGGCTGAACCTCTCTCTCAAGCATTTCATCAAATACCTTACACGCATTCTCCAACTCACCCTTCACCAACCAACCCTTCATCATTATATTAAACGAAACCGAATTCGGCTTAAAACCCAGTTCTTTACACCTCAAAAACAAATCATTTGCATCAGAAAATCGATCATTATCAATAAGAACATTAAGCAAAATATTGAAAGACTGCAAATTTCTTTCACAATTGAAATTGGGCATTTGATTAAACAATTCAATTGCTTTCTCAACCAATTGACATTTCCCATAATGCTGCATCAAAGCTATAAACAACCCTTCCCGGCAACGAATACCGCGATTTTTGATGAAATCAAGAAGTGGGTCGATTTGATCAAACTTACGAGAGCGAGCAAGCTTGTAGAGGAGAGAAGCGTAAGAAGGGTAGTCATGTTTGACGCCTTTTTGAGTATAATCTTCGAAGAGAGAGAGCGCTTCATCTGGGTTATGGAGTTGCTTGAGATCAGCAAGAAATGGAATTGGTTTGGGTTTTCGACGCTTTGAAGATGGTTTGTGTGTTCGATTTTGAGGTCTTGAAATGGATGTTATGGTTTGAAATTGTAATTTGGTGATAATTTTTGGGATTTTTGAGTGATGAATCTTTAACATCACTTCGTTTTGGTTTTTTGAATGATTTCGGGGTAAAACAGAGCAATTCGAATAAACTTCTATTTTCTCAAAAACAGATGTTTTAGTAACAACTAACAAGTTCATACTTCATACTCCGTTATAATTCGTACTGTAATTTTCTCGATAATAATGACTTGTAAATTTGTAATTGGAAATAATGATATCAGCTGGGTGGGGAGGGGATAACCGGATAAGTTGAACAATGGAACTTTTGGGCTGGGTCTAATTTGTTCAAGTCATGTTCGGGTTAATTCTTGGGTTTTAGTCATGTTGTCGTGTTAGATCATTGTCAATAATTATTTTCAGTGTGCTTATTTTGATAAAATAATAATAAATAATTTACAGACATATTAATTATTAGATTAGTTCAAGTCAGAACTAGGTCTAGTATATCATAAGTAAATTTAAGTGATGATGAATTTTTTATTGTCACATACTTACAGCCATACTGATAATTGGCCTCGAAAAGATCCACCCATAATGGTAGGTTGACCCTAATGATATCTTGAGCCAACTTATACTAGTATATATTTCGAAATACGACTTAGATGTGGCCAGATATCCCTACAAAACTTGACCCAAACAATAGATTTCAAATGAATTGTATTGAATTCAAATTAATAATGTATTCCTCATGTTCCATAAATCCATAATAACTTTGAGATTTTTCTATTTTTCAACCTTTTGAAAACCTCAAATGATGTTTCACCACCAAGGTTTATTTTATTTTTATATTATTTTATTTATTTATTTTAAAGCACCATACCACCAATTAAAAAAAAATGAAATTTGGAAATTTTCACTTTCTATCATACTCCTCCTAAACTTCACCTTCACCTATTCAATTCCTTTTAAAATTATTTGTTAAATCAATCTGATTTGTGTGCGGCTTACCACATCATGTGACCACTTAGAAAACTACAAAGTAACTCCTATAACAATGATCGAGTAACCTTTTTACACTGCGGAAGTAACCCCTTTAGCACAGAGGAAGTAACCCTTGTAACAATGGGCGAGTACCCCCTACAAAACTAACAAAGTAACCACTATAATTAGACCTGTTAATTCGAGTCAATGGATCGGGTTTGGGTAGATTTTTGGGCCATTTTGGTCGTTTGGATTATTAGAAAATATAATAAGTAGGTCAAATCGGGTCAATTTCAGGTTAGGTCGGGTCGGGTTTGGGTTTTCTCCTAATAACTCGAGTTTGGAATCGAGTCGGGTTAGGTCAGATTACCATGTCGGGTCAAAAATCGACAAGTCTACCTATAATGGCTAGCCACACCGTGTGCCAGCCACATTATAAGAATTTGTGTTGTTAAAAAATACAAAGATTCAAATTTACTTTTTTTTTTTTTTTTTTTTGAGGAAATCAAATTTACTTTTTTAGTTCCTAGTAAAATATTCTTAATGACAAATAAAAATTACCTCCAAAATTCATTTTAAAAACAAATTATTAAAATACCTTTTACTGAATATTTATTTAGTAAAATAATTACTACGGAATAAAATATCAAAAATATGAAATATAATACTCCATAACACCTGACCCAAACATAAAATTACAAGTGAGTAGTGAACTACTGAACTGAACCGAGCTCATGAATAAAATTGTACTCCGTAATGATTAATATACAAGTAATACTTTATGAATAAAAAAATTGTGTCAATAAATAATAATAATAATAATAGTGTTAACTTTAATAAAATTATATATTTTTATTTAATTGTAATCCGTATACTTAAATTAGGCCCCATTGGCGGACCATCATGGGGGCCATTAAGGGCCTTGCCCCTGCCGGCTCAAAAAAAAATTAGTGTAATAGGATGATTTATTAGAGATAGCCTAGTACAAGAAATACATTTAGGCCCAAATTTGCTTTAACATGTAATCGCTTTAATCGTGTTAACTGTAAATGTAACTGCTACTCCCCATTATTGACTTTCTACCTACTTTATCTCCTAAATTTCCTATTAGCCTATTTTTTTTTTCCTAATATTTTTTATTTTAATAAACCTAGGTACTAGGAAGTACTGTAATAAAATTTGCAAATTACGGAGTATAATTATCATCAATTGGCTAGTGGGATTTGGGAAGACAAGCAATAGTACTTTCGCACTGTATCAAGTATTAACTATCAAGACTCCATAGGTAAATTTTAATGTTTTATGTTGTGCATATTGTGCTTCTTCTATGAATTTCTAATTGATGTTTGTAATTTCTAATTTTATAATTTTTTATATGAAACATGTAGTGTTGTTTGTGTAATTTTAATGAAATATTAACTTGGATATTCATATTTGTTTATGAGTTTATATGATTTGTGAGTTATGACGACGAATAAATTTAATAAAAATAATAAATAAATTTATTTTATATAGAGAGGAAAATAGTAAAGACCTTTAGTATAAAGTCTATTATTATTGATGATTTTAGATTGTTAAAAGAGCGACGTACGTTACTTTAGTTGTTGGTTTTAGAATGGGATAGTGACACTTTTTAATTTAATAATTATAGTGATTTTTTAATAAATTTGATGATATTAATATCATTTGTTTAAATCACCCAAGTTTATAAATTATAGTAAAAAAAAATATTAAACTTTTGTAATTTTGTCTAAAATTATTAAATACAATAAATCAAATAATTAAAAATCTTAGATGAAAAAACCCTGCATTGTACGGGCTTCCATCTAGTTTGCAAGTAAAGGGGACAAATCAAAGATTGTAGAATCACTTATAAGATAAATTTATATTTCAATACTATAAAAGTTAGGGCCTATTATTCGAGTATTACTTTTCCTTGTTTCTATGGATTCTTTTCTTAAGGGTAATTACATAATTTCAATTAATTAATAATTTATCTTTTTGTTTATAAATCTAAATTTGTAACAGCTTATTAATACAAGTATAAACCGAAAAAGCAAATATTAACTCATAATAGAGGCATGATAAAAATCAAATTACTCCAATTTGATTTTATCTAAAAGTGTTAATCCTAAACATAATCCATTATTCTGTTTTTATCAAAATCTCTTATTCCCTTATTTATCTCTCCTAATCACCCTATAATTAATATCACCATTTTTTGCTATAAATACCCTTTAAAACCCACCTATTCTCTCACTCAATTCTCAAATAAAAACGTTCGTCAAAAAAAGAAAAACCCTCAAAAAAAAGTTTTGATTTTTCGATCAAAAAAACAGAGAAAAAATGGAGCTTGATTTGTCCCCAAAATTGTCAAAGAAGATCTATGGAGGTGAAGGAGGGTCCTACCATTCATGGAATCCTTCTGAACTTCCCATGCTTAAAGAAGGCAACATTGGAGCAGCTAAGCTTTCCCTTGAAAAATACGGATTTTCCCTTCCTCGTTATTCTGATTCATCTAAAGTTGCTTATGTTCTTCAAGGTATAATCTTTTCAATCTTTATTAATTTTCTTCAAAATTTGATTTTTGATTCCCCTTTTTTAAAAATTTGATTTTGATGATTTATTATGATGTAATTTGGATTTGGGTTAGTGGGTGTCATGTATGTTGATTAATTTAAGTTGGAAATTCGATTTTGTGCATTATTTTATTATAGCCATTGTTAGAGTTAATTTTTGTCGAAAGTCAATGCATGTTCTGTTTCTTGTTTAATTTTTGTGATCAATTTAGTAAAAAATAATTTTTTTAATGATAATTATGTTAATGTTATTTGAAGTTGATAGCTTTGTGGATTCCAATAATCCGTAAATTGTTTAGGGTTTTGTCGGGGTAGAATCATGATTATTCTTGAATCTTGATTGATTTCAATTAAAATAATGATTTTGGTTGATCGATCATTCAATCTTTGAATAATAATGTTAAGAGACCCTTGAAAATGATTTTTCTAAAGAAATATTGTGTGATCTCAGTCTTTAAAATTGTTCGATGTCCATTGATCGTGATTTTGATTGATTGGTTTCAATTAAAATAATGATTTTGGTTGATCGATCATTCAATCTTTGGATAATTAATGTTAAGAGACCCTTGAAAAGGATTTTTCCTAATCTCAATCTTTAAAATTGTTCGATGTCCATTGATCGTGATTTTGATTGATTGGTACTTTATATTTTCTTGAATTATATAAAACATCATATAGTATAATTTACGAATAATTTTATGTAATTGTATTACTCTCTATTTATATTAGATGTATGAATATTGATTAAAATTATAATATTAGCACGTTAAAATAAACAACTTAAAAAATTGGAGGGATACTACATAGTATTGTGGCCTATTATTAAGGGAAGATGTAATAAAAATAATTGTTTAATCAACGTAAACACAGATTTATGCTCCCTCACTTAGTCGATAGACAAGGTTGACTTTAAGGATTAACTATCAGATTCAAGAGGCTGTTAAATTTCTTTTGATTAATGTATTTGTCTTGTGAATGGCCTGAACATGTTTACAAATAATTGTGGTTGTTTAATGTATGTTGTGTTGTGATTGTGTTTTAGGTGAAGGAGTAGCTGGAATTGTCCTCCCTGAGCAGGAGGAGAAGGTGATTGCAATCAAGAAGGGAGATGCAATCGCGCTTCCTTTTGGTGTGGTCACCTGGTGGTACAACAAAGAGGACACCGAACTAAGTGTCCTCTTCTTGGGTGAAACCTCTAAGGCCCACAAACGCGGTGAATTCACTGATTTCTTCCTCACCGGTACTAATGGAATCTTTACCGGATTCACACCCGAATTTGTTGGCAGGGCATGGGACTTGCCTGAAGATGTTGTCAAGACCCTTGTCAGTAACCAATCCTCTAACGGCATTGTCAAGCTTAGCGAGTCCCACAAAATGCCTGAACCCAAGAAGGAACACCGTGATGGAATGGCATTGAATTGTGAAGAAGCTCCATTGGATGTTGACATCAAGGGTGGTGGAAAGGTGGTCGTCTTGAACACCAAGAACTTGCCCTTGGTGGGCGAGGTAGGCCTTGGGGCTGACCTTGTTAGGCTCAATGGAAAAGCTATGTGCTCTCCAGGATTCTCTTGTGACTCTGCCTACCAGGTGACTTACATCGTCAGAGGTAGTGGTCGAGTTCAAGTAGTCGGGGTTGATGGTAAGAGGGTGTTGGAGACCAGGATCACAGCAGGCAATCTGTTCATTGTGCCCCGGTTCTTTGTTGTTTCAAAGATTGCGGATGATGATGGCTTGGAGTGGTTTTCTATCATCTCTACTCCAAAGTAAGAAACAGACTCCTTTGTTTAGTATTGGGTGCATTTGGTTTTTGTTATTTAGACTAAGGATTGATTTTCTAACATAACTTTTTCGCGGTGTTTGCAGTCCTGTTTTTACACACTTAGCAGGGAAGACTTCAGTCTGGAAGGCATTATCGCCACAAGTGCTGGAAGCCGCCTTCAAGGTGCCTGCTGAGATCGAGCAGCAATTCCGCTCAACAAGGACTTCAGATGAAATTTTCTTCCCCCCTCCAAATTAAGAAAATGAATGCCGAGTACTTCTTACCAGAAATTGATACTTGGTTGGACTGTTTGATAAGTGATTTTTGCATATAGGATGCTTGAGATTTTATTTAATTATGGATTCTGTTTTGAATGTTCAATAAGAATTTATAGACGGTTTTTTCGTGAAATTTTGTGTGGTTTCGTGATTATAATTGATTTCATGAAGGACAGAAGAAGGAAAGGGGAGTAGGTTAAGTTATACTTCGTATTCCATATTAGCTTATTGAACCGTAAAGTACAATACCATCTTTCCCATGAAAATTTAAGGAAGAATAAGTTCAAATAGAATTACCTTAGTTTAAATCGTAACTAGAGCAAGAACTAATTTTGGGTAGTTGGGTGCACGGTTCAACCAGGTGTGTATAAACTATAAAGTATTTCATATGATAGCTATTGACTATATCGTCCACTCCCAAACACACAAGACGCAATCCAAAACTAGAGGTGAGACTTCTCTTATCAAAACATTTATAATTGAAAATTGAAAACCAAAATATGGAAATCCATGAACTTGCCAAAGCTCTAGTTTAGCAACACATTCTTATTATTGGCTCTCAAGTCTTTAACTCATTCAACTCAATTAAATGGGCTCCATCCCCTGTACTCATCCTATATTTCCTCATATTTCCACTCGATCAAGGTATTATCATAGATTAATCTAAATTCAAGCTTTTTAATTTTTAGACCCTTATTATTTATTTTAAGGCTAATAATTTTTCACACTTTTTTGTTGGCTGAATTTCAGCATACCCAAATCTTTGTTCTTTAAACACAATAAAAGATAGTGGAATTTGAGTTGTTGGGCTTCTAGCTTTGATGATCAGAGTTCATATAATTTTGATAATCAAAATGGGTCTCTGAATAATTCAGCTTCTTTTAGCGCATCAGATGCTAAAATTAGCTCAGAATCCATTGATTTTTTTGTTAGTGATGCTGAAGGTGATCCTGATTGCCCCACCAAAGGTTATTCTTCTATTGATCAGGCTCTCATCACTCTTAAACAGGGAAAGGTTAAAACTTTTTACCCCACTAAATCATCATTCTGTTTTAATTCTTTAGTTTTACCATCTCATATGTTTGTCGTAATAGCAAAATCTTGTATAAGACGGTCTCAATCTAACCATTCTAGGGGTACGGTGGCTTATGGGTTGCTTTGAATATTCACGATCAATTAATTCATATTTGAACCATTAGGAGTAATATATGAATTGTCCAAGTATTATATCCTAGATGGCTAAATATATGAAGACTTAGGATTTATGTAATAGTACTTGTATAAATATTCTTTATTGGTAACTTCTAGTGTAACATTGTCAATTTGTGTTACATTTTGTTTATTCCATTGCCAAGTGAACTTTTAAGGATAATTTTGTGCATTTTCTAATATCCGTAATGGTACCTGTCAAACTACCAGTCTGTGATTGTTGTAGATGATGAAAATGAAGACGAAGGAAATCTAGTAATGGCAGCATCATTAGTCAGTCCCCAAGCCATGGCCTTCTTGGTCAAACATGGAACAGGAATCGTATCGGTGGGAATGAAGGGGGATGATCTTGTAAGACTAAAGCTTCCCCTTATGTCACCAGATAGCGAAAATGCAGACTCTGCTGCTCCTTCTTTCACTGTCACTGTGGTATGTGTCTCAGATGGGCAGTTCTGTTTTTGCTTTAACATTGAATCACAAGACAAATAGGACCAAATATTTAGGTGCATTCTATTAGATTGTATGAGTACATAATTTGATTTGTTGTGGACTTTAAGGATGCTAAACTGGGCACAACAACTGGTGTATCAGCTTCAGATAGGGCTAAAACAGTAGCTGCTCTTGCGTCTCCGGACTCTAAACCCGGAGATTTCAGGAGGCCTGGTCATGTTTTCCCCCTCAAGTATAGAAATGGTGGGGTTCTGAGGAGAGCAGGACATACCGAAGCTTCTGTTGATTTGGTTATGTTGGCTGAATTAAGACCAGTTTCAGTTCTTTCGGCCATAATTGATCAAGATGATGGTTCAGTGGCCTCTTTAACCACTTTAAGAAAACTATCTTTGGAGCACAACATTCCTATAGTCTCCATCACTGATTTGATTAGGTAAAATCTACAAAATCGTATATATATTAATAGCTGATCAAGGTTGACATGACCTGAAATGTCAAAGAGTCAGGCTATAAAAGCCGCCAATATTGGGGTGTGGCCTAGCCCATGAGGCCATGATCAGCTCTTGTTACGGCTAATTCTTATTTATTATTGAGGATTTTATTCTGTAGGTGAGTACATTCTAGCTTCATGTGTTTGTGATTGATACCAGATATAGAAGAAAAAGGGAAAGATTAGTAGAAAGAACTGTGGTTTCAAGGGTTCCGACAGATTGGGGACAATTTGATGCTTACTGCTATCACTCCAAGTTAGATGGAATTGAGCATGTAGCTCTTGTAAAGGTGTTAATTCGATGCTTATTGTTCTTCAAAAACCTCAGTTTATTTCTATATCCTACTTTAAGGCACTAAAATCTAATCTTCAACCTATGTATAGGGAGACATAGGAAATGGTCAAGATATCCTAGTAAGAGTTCATTCCGAGTGCTTAACAGGTGATGTATTTGGTTCTGCTCGATGTGATTGTGGAAACCAATTAGCTCTAGCAATGGAACTGATTGAGATTGCGGGAAGAGGGGTTTTTCTTTATCTACGAGGCCATGAAGGGCGAGGAATTGGCTTAGGACATAAACTCCAAGCTTATAACTTGCAAGACCAAGGCCATGACACCGTTGAAGCCAACCTTGAACTTGGATGGCTGCTGATGCGCGTGAATATGGTATTGGTGCACAGGTAGTTTTCCATTCTGATTGCAATTTTTTCTGTATCAATTAACAAATGTGTATAATTCAATTTCAAATCTTATACAGAGTACTCAAAATGTTTGCAAATTTCACTGTCAGATTCTGAGGGATATTGGGGTTCGAACCATGAGGCTGATGACCAACAATCCGGCAAAATTCACTGGCTTAAAGGGTTATGGTTTGGCTGTGGTAGGAAGGGTTCCTGTCTTAACAACTATAACTAACGAAAACAGGAGGTACTTGGAAACCAAGCGTGTTAAGATGGGGCATATGTATGGATCTAATGTACAAGAATCATCGGCGGGTCTCATTGATCCATCGGATACACAAGAGAGTGAAGAAGAAACAAGTTGAATTTTTTTTTAGTACATAAATGCCTCTTAAACATACCATTTTTTGTCAAAGCAGTTTAATCTATTTATTATAGGAGATAAGGCTTACTTGCACTATTCTTTTAATTTGCAAATACAACTAAAATTACACAAGCAAGTACAGTATATAAAAATAGCTTGTACAAGATCATAATTCCGGATTCTGTGATAATTTTGTCATTTTCGATTTCATTGTTTTATGGGCCCATTTTCGATTTCAGCCCATAAATACAACAGAGGCCCATTTACCAAGTATATCATTGGCCATAGTAAAATATTAGAGGGCTTGCAAACTGCATGAGTACATACACATTACACGGACCTAAAACTCTAAAAGGTTACAGAGTTTATCACAATCTATGCTTTAACGATTGAGTTTATTGTATGTTGGTAACAACATAGATGTGTTACGAAAGAAGGAAGTAAAGAGGCAATTTTGCTCTCAATTTGTAGTGTATCAAATACATAAACATAACTTCTAATCATAAGATGGGTTAAATTGTAGTGAGCAATAATCCTACTAACTTTAAGAGCAAAAGCACCGCGATTCCTAAATTAATCGAAATAATTTTCTTCTACTCTGATCTAGAACTCGGTAATTATTATACGAGCCGGGATGCAAATATAAGAGTAGAAAAACTAATGCTAAATAACATTTATATCAATTAATCGAAAAATAGAGATTGTGAATAAATAACAATAACATTTATATCAATTAATATAGTAATTCTAAATCAAATAGGATGTTCATTAACTACGACGAATTATTCTACGAAAATTAAATAAACAATTAAATTAAAAGCAAAAGAAAAAAAAAATCAAGTTATTATTAGTACTCTAAAGTCTCATTGTGTCGTGGTCGCTTGCTCATTGAAACAGGCACAGGAGGAAGTTGTGGATCATACGCTAGTTGCGGTGGATTCGACCACTCAGGCAGTGGTCCGACCACCAAGAGAGAGTCAAGACTAGGACCTGCCTCAATCACAGACTGTAGAAGCTTCCCTTTCTCAGGCTTAGTCTTCCCTTGCACTAAATTGTCCAACACACTTGGATCATAACTTGAGTTAGTACAATTCATTAGGTTATCAGAATTACCCAAGTAGCTTACGTCGGAAAAAGAACCAACGTCGAAGAATGAATCCATGGACGATGATGAATTAGCCATGCTCGAGTCGTTGAACTTACTTTTTGAGAGGTTGGCATTGTTATTAACCATCATCAAGGGACTTTGAGAAGACATGGTAGGAAAAATTGCTGTGTGGTTCGGGCTAAGGTGATTTGTACCAAAATGTTGTTGATTTGTTGGTACAGTAATTGACGGGTTAGAGGTAAGGTTGCATGCATTCGAATTAGTTTGGATTTGGCTAATAACGGAACCTTGATTTGTTGGTAGGGTGATTGACGGGTTAGAGGTAAGGTTGCATATATTTGAACCAGTCTGAACTCGGCCAACAACGGAACCTATATTAGTTTGTTCTAGTCTATTTGGTAGACTTGTGAACGTGTTAGTTGCTGTTGTTGTCATCGTTGTCGTTGGTAATGAACAAGCACAGGGTTTATTATAACCCTTGACCATCGAAAGTGTGCGCAATTGGTGTTTTAGCTCATCTCTTTCCTTGTTGGCAAATTCGAAAAGATAAATCAGTTTCTTGACATTCTCCATGTTAAGTTTTTCCTTTTCAATTTTTTCTTTTCTTGCCTGTTCTAGTTCATTCGTCACGCGTAGTAGCTGCACCCTTAGATCGTCCTCGGTCTGCAAATCAATCGTACATAATAAAATTCAGTACATAAATTAAACATCATAGGTTATAACATTGACTACATTATTGTAACATTAATCCTCTGTTTCCTCTGTTTCTCAGCGAGGAAAATAAAAGTACATCCGAACATGCATGCATGTATAGTTATTCAAAAGTTAGGAGAAAGATTAAATCAACAACATGATAAACATATCAAATTACAAATCCATTCAAGTAAAAAAAAAACAAAAGAATTGGTTATTTTTTGAATGATGGTATAAAGTTTGGAAAATAGTCAGCCGGGCGCCATACATGATATACTGTATCATTGTAATAACAGTAGATAATTACAACTAACTAGAACATTCTCTGCATCAAGTACGAGTACTCATAAACGAAAGCGAATCAAGTGAAATTTTAATGTTAGAACATCCTACCATTCTAGATTTCTAGGTTCAATGTCCTTGGGTTGGGATCTCCACGGAAAACTAACTACTAATAACTAACTGGCTAAAGAAACAAGCTATTGAATCATTAAAAATGAAAAGGAATGTAATGTAAGATAAGAATAGTGTTCGAGAAACAGACCTCATCAAAATTCCACTTCAACATTTTCCAAGTTATCCATGATCTTTTTCTAAGCTATATTATGAATGTAGTGGTAGGGAGTTTAGAGAAATAAAAGGGAGAGAAATTATAGTGTAAGATAATTAGATATTGGTGAACTGTAAGAAATTTATATGACTTATATAGTTGAAGACTTTATAATATAAAGACAATAAAAGGGCGGTGAGTTTAAGAATTTGATGATCGTATCCATTAATTAAGAGGATAGAACAAAAATAAAATAAAATTTGGGTACATAATTTTATCAATGGAAACTAGCTTTTAAAATTTCCAAGAAATTAAGATTTTCTTTGGTAGAATCCTGTTAATTTACCATAAACAGTTCCTTGCTATTACTTAAATATTTGACTAATTTTCCTTGTTTTGATGTGATCTACGTAGTACTTTTTATTTTCACTTTCTTTCTAAAAAGGTTTTTTTTTTTTTTTTTTTTTTTAATTCCAGCTAATTATTTCTGTCACGCGGTTTTTAAAAAATTTCTTAATAGTTTGAAATTTGCATGTAAGTGTTCTTTACTTGCATGATCTTTGAGAATTTTGAGTACTACGTATTAAAGAAAGTGAGAGATTTGCTGCCATTTTGAGGGTTTTCTTTTTTGTAATATTTTCTTAAAAAATTTGAGAGGACTTTCCTAAAAATTGTTCAATGGGCTTTTTTTTTATTTTTATTTTTTTTGAAAGAATACAATGGGCTATTTAGTATATCCTTTTTTAATTTTTTTTCTTTTTACTTATATCCAAAAAAAAATAGGTACCGACTACCGAGTATATCCTTCTAACCTTTATTTAGCAAATATGATTATATGAAGTACTTTTTTTTTTTTTTTTTGAGCAAAGTAGTACAGCTTTGTGCAAGTAAATTAAAATTGTAAAAATTTTGGCACGGCCTCACCATCTCAATATCATGTGTTGTAAATTAAATAAAATAATCCTATTCATTAATCCAGAAGTACGTACAAAGTAGTTTTTAGTTTCAATTTATTTTTGGATGTGGCCAAGGTTTAATCCTCTAATTAAATATTAATCGTATAAAGATACATAAATTACAGATGTAATACGTACTACATAGAATATTAACCTTATTAAATTGCTCTAAATTTTTATGGGAATATAGGTGATGTTAATTATGATCCTATCCATCAAAGTGATGGTGAGAAGAAAGGAAAAAAAAAAAAAAGGGCATGTAATAATTATATACGAGTTACAGAATCCAGTTAGATTGCCTTAATTATTCCAAACTCTCACTTAACAAGTTTACATTACTAATTTTCCTTCGTTGATGTGATCCACCTTTTTCTTCTAAAACGTTTTCCATCCTAGCTTAACTTGGCATCATTATCTTTACTATTACGCGTTTTCTCCCCTATACTTTCTATAAAGTTCAAATTTGCATGTAATTAGCCATCATCATTAATATATAGGAACAAGCATATATGGAGTAATTTTCTTTTAAAAAAGATTACGGATCGGAGTATATACCTTTATAACTTATTTTTAGGAAAGCTGAATTATTTGCATAATACGGAGTAAGGCCCTGTTTAGTTCACCTTATTTTTGCTTATCTGAACTGGTCTGATCTGATCTTATTGTCTAATTTGACCAAACTTTGACCTTGAGTGTACGACAATCTGTAAGGAAAAATTATATATAAAGTGGGATCTTGTTAGATTCGTAATAATGTGTATTTTATTAATATGTAATTTTCATAATTTTTTTATTACGAAATTAAAGATATATAGCGATAAAAAATTGCACATAAAACGATGATCTGACCTGAACTTATTTTTTCTGATCTAATCTGATCTGAACTTATTTTTTCTGAAATAAGTAAAAATAAGTTGAACTAAACAAAGCCTAAGGATGACATCTTATGTAGGCCCCGTTCAATTTACCTTATTTTTGCCGAACTGAAATTAATTTTACTGAACTAAAATTATTTTTGCTTTTACTGATTTTCTATTATATTTCTTCTTTAAAATTACTGATTTTTATTGAACTGAAATTATTTTTACTAAATATTATTATTTTAAGATGAAGTGAACAAGGCCTAATAACATAAACTCAAAACAATTAATGGAGTATGTATTTGTTTTTCTAAGTAAGAGAGTGTGTCACTTGAAATTTATTGTTTTCTCGGTTCAATACTTCTTGTTACAGAGTAATGAGACATGGGATGCAAGTTAATGGCACATTGTGGATATTATTCTCCTATCATAAGGATGTATAGGCGTATAGCCATATCTCTCTTCATTATCGTTGAACAAGTGAACAACAATACGCACTAAAGTATAAAAGAATGCTCTCTCAGTCTCAAAATAACTAACACAGTCAAATTTTAATTTACACACATGTTAATGCAATAATTTAACCTTATTTTTACATAAGTAAATAGTAACAAAAATAGTAAAAACATTATATTTTGAAACTTTGTAGTAATACCTATCTAATAATATATTTATGATATTATATACTTTTATTATGTTAGAATAAAGCTAAAGTCAAAGTTAATACTTGTATATGAATGGTGAAAAAAAGTCCAACATCTCAGTTATTCTGAGACGGTGAGAATAGGTTTTTTTTTTTTTTTTTTTGTGTGAAAATTGACTTTTTAATAATAAGATAAATGTCAATAAGTTTTTGTCACTCAACCATTTTTCTTGTATAAGGTATAGCATGCTACTGTATATACTTGTATTAAAAATAAATGTCAAAATTAATATTTATACCAGAATATAGTATATATATTGCTATTGTCTACTATGATTGATTATTTGATTCTTTATAAATTGTTAGAAAAAATTGGTGATTAATAATTAATTAAAAAATAAAATAATGTGTTTAGTGTAAAACAAAAAACCAATCCCATAAAACTATATTGTGACAAAGACAATGAACGTGGACTGGGGAGAATTCCGTCGCAAAAAAAGACTATTTTCTTTCTTAATACCCCACAAGCGCCTTACTTAACTTATTTTATACAAAGTATATTTTTTTAGTTAGCACCTTACTAATAAATTACTTGCTTCAAACAATTATCATAAAACTCAATCTCATCCGTTAGATTGATTATAACTTCACCAGCATATTGACTTATTGCGTCACCACCCAGGGCTTAAGAAATAAATTGTTCCTTTTCCTTAGAAAATGTTTGTCGGTTTTTTCTATCGCTTAAGAAACTTATACACTGTAATTTAAGAAATAATGTTTATCTTTTGAAGTAATTCTAAAGTGGTTGGCTTATGTTACAAAGCAATAATACAAATAAATCATTAATAATATAATTTTATAAAAATGATTGTAAATAAAATTTTATTAGTGCTTATTATACTAAATTACTAGTAATGGAATAATAATTTATAATTTGTAAGTGGTAATAATACAACATACTCTTTGTTGTTGACCTTGTTATATAACTACGTACATGGAGTAAGGAGTGTTATATACTCATACGTAGTATTCTTTTTTCCCTAAACTAAGGGTGTACTGTCCATACATCTTACATCATATCCATTACTTCCTTGTTCTTTGTTTATAAAATTATAATGCAAGTAAGTGCTTAATCCCCTACTAAAGAAAGTGCTTAAATGACCACTAATCATTATATTAATAAGCTCCAAAAAAATTTCTATATTATCTATCAAATATGTGATGTGATACATTTGTCCCACATCGATCATCAAATGGAAATTTTTTTGTGTTGTTTGATTTTCCACCTATCTCATTGACAATACAACTCTAGTTATTACTTGCCCAAATTATTAGTGTCTCTCAAAAGATCATGAGTAATATGTGATGATTATTGATAAAGAGTGCATGTTAATTAGAGTCAATAGAGAGATATGAAATTAAGTCATACAAACTTTTACTTTTCCTTTGTCAAAAAAAAAAAAAAAAAACTTTTAATTTTAAAATTTTTATCCCGCATATAATCAGAAAACGGTATCTAAAATTATAGGGTTCGTTCACTATCGTTTAACTCTTAAAAATATTTTGGAATTCTCTACATATCATTGTTTAAGTTGTACTTCCATTTAAAAAAAAACACTTGCATTGTATGCTATTATACATAATATACTTGCATGTATTTTAACTTAATTCACAAATAAAGATATACTAGTAAATAAATACTTCAACGTGAGAAAGGATATTTTTTAAAAAAAAAAAAATTACATATACCATCTTCTGATCTCCTACTTTTAAGTGTATTATAATATAACAAGAATTCGTAAAGGACGATATTAGGATTAGTTTCCTTTGGGAAAAATTAAAATGCCTAGGTAGAGTTTGCAATAAGTTGTTTGTATAATTTTTTCACTTTGAAGTGGCTTATTAGTTCAATAAATCCCTCACAAATTACTCCGTACAAGAATAAGTAAAATTAAACATTTAACCAGTAACCATACTTACCATATTAGACGTTAGCGGTTGGTCTTCAACTGTTTAGTAAGGGCCCTAGCTAGCTAGGCATACAAATATGGGCAACATAGGTGCAACTTTTTCAACTTGAAGTAAAATCTTTATTAGATTAATTCATTATTAATAATAATTAAAGCACCAAAAATGGTCCAAAAAAGTAAAGACAAGCTCCACTTTCGTCCCCTTGGATCCCTTAAACGGGTAACGACTTTACCTGTCGGTTCAATCATAATATTTGATCAATTATAAATACTAATACAAGTACTTTGGGGTAAAATAATCACTTAATTAATTTGCAATGACCATTTTAACTTTGGGGTAAAATTATAACCGATAAAGTTTAAGAGATTAGAACGACCAACCTTTGTTTTTTACCTTTTGATTTTATGCTTAAAGCCGTACCAAAAACTTTTATGAGTTGATCCAATAATGCCTTCATGTTGTTAGCTTTTAATGCTATAATAATAAGATATGATTACTTTCTTGTTACAACCACAAGTATAATCTTGTTCATGGAGTTTTCTTTTTGTAATAACTTTTAGCTTTTACTGTAATTATTTATCAAGAAAATAATTACGGAATAAAAGTTAAAACTAGAAGATAATATGATAAGAGAATATTACTTGAGATTGGCGAAAGAAAATCAATCATATTCAAATGCTACGATTAGTAATAAGCTTAACCCCCCCCCCCCCCAAAAAAAAAAAAAAAAAAAGTTTGACTTGTCATCTTCATTCACTTGAAATATGTGTTGGTCATAACATTTGTTATGAACTTTTCTGGATTGATCTAATTTAAAATGATAAGCTAGCTAATATCATTGAAATTCAATCACATTTTTACACTTAATTGCGAGAAATAAACAAACACTATCAAATAAAATATACTTATGTTAGATTCATCTAACTAGAGATTGCAATATTTATCGATATTACATGTAGAAAATATTTTAAATTAGAATCAATTCTAATCCAATCTGATTTGATATGTTTACTAGACTAATTTATTCAAATTTGATTCTAATAGTTATTTCATTTCATATGGTTCTTTCCTCTTTAACCAATTTTGCTTTACAAATATTCTAATTAAGTGAGAAGAACAATATGAAATTGAGCGAATAATAATCGTGCCATAGATAATAATTTGACTTAAAACAAGTGCGTAATACTCCTTTTTTTTTCAGACACATCAATGTGAAAACATAATATTCTTACTCATTTAATTTAAAAATCAAGTAAATTTTACTTATGGGTAACATTTACTCCCTCTGTCCCCCCCCCCTTTTTTTTGTCTCATTTGACTTTTCACGGTGTTCAAAACACATCTTAAAACATATATAACTCCATTATCATGAGCGTAAAAATTATAAAAACTTGATATTGATAAAATATACAATGAAACAAATCTAAAAAGATTTCACATGACTATATTATTTCATATTATTTGCATTGGGACAAAAAACTAGGAATGAAGGGAGTAATTATTGTTTAAATTTTGTGATAATATGAAATGGACCTAGACAACCCTAACGAGGTCAATGAGTAGTATGAGTAACTCCTCTATCTTATAAATGTGGTCAGGGCAATCCAAACTAGGTGGAATAGAGTTTGACCCACAAACAAAGCTAAGGAGGTTTCATGCTAAAACCAATTGGTGATATTAGGAGTAATTTCTCTACTTTAAAAAGTGAAACTATTTATCTTCTTTCTCCAATGTAGGACACTCAAAAATGGGTTTACAATGAATTTTAATATTATTTTAAAGGGAGTATATCTTTACCATGCACTCGTTTTAACAATTTTTATTGCACACTCATCTTAAAAAAAACAAAATTAAATAACCTAATTCTAAATTTCTATTGGAGAAAATATTGAGGGGAAAAAAAATAAAATAAAAACATGTGACAATGTGAGTAGGGCTGGCAAATGGATC